GAAGCCTGCTTCTCCCTCTCCCACTCCCCTTGCTTGTGTTCCCTCTCTCGCTGTGTGTCTCTCTCAAATAAAGAAATAAAATCTTTAAAAAAAAAAAAAAGATCCTTTGGCATTCTATAAGGAGATGATCACTAAATTTTAATGTTTTACAGTATTTCCATAGAATGTGCCCTTAGATATTTGTACACAAAATCAATATTTTGATTTGAGAATACAAATACATGTTTAAGTTCAATGCTTATATATTACATATAATATTTGTCATCATGCTTGTCATCACTTTATTTTCCAAAATATTTAAGAGATACCAAATATTTCCAAAAGCTTAGAAATAATTTTAAAAAGAGAACAGGCAATTTTGATGAAGAGGATCAAAATTTTGGCATTATAACTGAAGATTTACCCACATTAGCATCCAAAATAAAACATTTTGTAAACTACCCAAGTAAAGAAATACCCTGGGATATCCTACAAATGTAAATATGCACTGAAAGAAATAGGGGCTACAAGGCTTCCATACTTTAGCCACCACGGGCACAAGGACATTAGGGCCATATAAACTGGTCAAAGATAAATCTGCCAAGCAGGTCTTTACCCTAAAGATAATGCGTATCTCAGAGATTTGAATTTCCATGTAAAAGACTTCACTGGGAAACTGCTTATAGATAGAGAAGATGATGTTAAGACGTGTTAAAGTTTTGATCTGTAGACTGTCCTTCAGAGAAAATTGAAACTACTCACTGTGTTGAAAGGACTCAAAGATTGGCAATACCTCTAACTTTGACTGCCTTTGAATGACTGAAACAAGATTTTCCAAGAACAGGAATCCACATCTGCAAAGACACAAGAATATTTGAGCTTGCCTGAGAAAACAAATTGGGTATATATGAACTTGAAGAAATGTAGGTCTGGATTAGGATTTTCCATTATTCACATATACCTTTATGTATATGAAGAGATTGGAGGGGCGCCTGGGTGGCTCAGTTGGTTAAGCGACTGCCTTCGGCTCAGGTCATGATCCTGGAGTCCCTGGATCGAGTCCTGCATCGGGCTCCCTGCTCGGCAGGAAGTCTGCTTCTCCCTCTGACCCTCCCCCCTCTCATGTGCTCTCTCTCTTGCTCTCTCTCTCATTCTCTCTCTCAAATAAACAAATAAATAAAATCTTTAAAAAAAAAAGAGATTGGAGAGTAGAAATTCATGAGTGTGTTATTTATTAAGCAACTAAATGTAATAGAAAATCTGTACAGTGGGAAATTTTGAAAATCTTGTTTGGTTGTAGATTTTATACATATTTTACTGTTGCTTCCTTTGTGTTGCTGAGTTTGTAAGACTTAACTTTATAAATTTGAACTAAATATAGTCTAACACACACACACACACACACACACACACACAAAATTCCCGGGGAATAGTGGAAGCAAGCAGCGTGTCCAATGACTGGGGACTCAGTAAGTTGTAATACAGCCATGCTTAGTGAGCCATCACAGGCAGTCAGATTTACTCATCTGCAGCTCAGGGTTTCCCCCAGAAGCCTGGATTCCCCCTCCACCTTACCTTCTCTGAGCCTCAGTATTCTCACCTATAAAATGGGCACATTCCAATCCCCCTGGGAGGGCTATTTTAAAACATGGATCAGATGACCACCAAGATGTGTTTGGTGTGGGGACAAGTACCTAATGAAACTCCAAAAGTTGGAGATGGTGGGACAAGGGCGGGGGACCCAAGAGGCATGGGAAGATGGGCTTAATGCCTTCTCCCTCCCTAGCTGCAGAGGCCCCAAAGGTAGGGACCACTTCCTTCTTCCTCCCCAATGGATCCCCAGAGCCTAGACGTGCCTGGCACACAGTAGGTACTCAATAAAATTTCTCTCCCACCAGAGACACACACTAAGTAAGGCACACTAGGTGGGGAGGAATTAGCATTAATCTAACTTCCATTTGATCCTCCTCTCATGACACTTTACACGAACTTCAGCCTGGGGTCCGTGGACCTCATGGGAACCTGATGATGGGATCCATGAAGTAATGGGGGGAAAAATCACGTCTTTATTTTCACTGACCGATACTTGCCATTTCCTCAATTATGAATGAAGGCACCAGCAGGACTTGTGACTTTGTCCCCAATAGAAACCCATAGATATTTTCATATTAGATTGCTTTGCTGCAAACAACTTGAAATACGGCAGACACCTGTGGTTATTAGATCTTGTCAGTTAAGATGGTGGGAAATAAAAAGGCGTAGCCCGAAGCCTTGTTTGTTTCAGTGTAGCTCTATTTCAAAAGGATTTTAGGGGCGCCTGGGTGGCTCAGTCGTTAAGCGTCTGCCTTCAGCTCAGGTCATGATCCCAGGGTCCTGGGATCGAGCCCCACATTGGGCTCCCTGATCCCCGGGAAGCTTGCTTCTCCCTCTCCCACTCCCCCTGCTCATGTTCCCTCTCTCACTGTGTCTCTCTCTGTCTAATAAATAAATAAAAATCTTTAAAAAAAAAAAAGAAAGAAAAAAGGATTTTAAAGTGATTATCTTACATGTGTTAAACACAATTTTTAAATTTGTGGTAAGATATACTTAACATGAAACTTACCACTTTAACCATCTCTAAGTGCACAGCTCCATGGCATGAAGCACACTCACACTGTCGTGCAGCCACCCCCACCCTCCGTCTCCAGAACTTTCCGTCTTCCCAAACTGAACCTCTGTCCCCATTCAGCACTAACTCCCCACCCCTCCCCCGGCCCCTGGCTCCCACCATCTACTTCCTTTTTCTACGAATTTGACTCTTCTAGGGACTTCCTATGAGTGGAATCAGACAGGATTTGTCCTTTTGTGTCTGCCTTATTTCACTGAGCATGATGTCCTCAGGATCCATCCAGGCTGTAGCAGATACTGATTTCCTTCTTTTTGAAGGCTGAATGATATTCCCACGTATGGATGGACCACCTTGTGTTTATAGTCATAATGGATCACTAAGTAGTTTTTTTTTTTTTTTTAAGATTTTATCTATTTGTTTGAGAGAGAGAGCACATGAGAGGGGGGGAGGGTCAGAGGGAGAAGCAGACTCCGCGCTAAGCAGGGAGCCCGATGCGGGACTCGATCCCGGGACTCCAGGATCATGACCTGAGCCGAAGGCAGTCGCTTAACCAACTGAGCCACCCAGGCGCCCCACTAAGTCGTTTTGGAAAAATATTTTAATAGATGTATTTCAACATAAGGAAGACTTCCTTGTAACTTCTTGTATTTTGTTTTACGCATCTACAGATGGTATTTTGAGAAGACGCTCTGAGCTTCTCCAAACTGAAAAAGAAACCCCGTCAAAGGCATTACGACTTTCATAGGCCCTTGTCCATTAAAATAAATAAACGAATAAAAATTATATTTACAACCCTGTTGGTATAAAGACTAATATAATCCAGGATGAACCATAGTCATTATTTTCTTTCTGATTTGAAAAGAAATGAAAACATTTTCGTGGGTCCCCAAAAGTATGGTGGTCCCACATCTTAACTATGACCAATGGACATGTGTGCACTGGGTTCAGGACCCCCAAAAGGTTAGGGTCCCTTATGAATTCTTAAATGTTATGTTTGCAGCATCACGATATGCCATCTCAGCTGCCCCTCTTCCAGGCACCTGGGGATCCCCAAACCCCCCCCAGGGTGGCGATTTCGGGTAGCCCTCCCCCAGTATTACCCTATCCCCCTGTTCTATTCCGGGGAGAGCATTATCACTAGCTGAGATGATCTAATTTTTAAATTGTAGTTACTCTCTCCCTAGACTGCGGGCGCCCCGAGGGCAAGGCTCTGTCCCTCTCGTGGTCCCCAGCGCCCGCGCGGGATGTGCCCAAAGTCGCCGAAGATGGCAGCCCTAGGGGGGCGCAGGGGGGCGCCCCGGGGACTTTCCCTGTCCCGCGAGGCAAGTGTGACCTCACCTTCCTGCCTCGCTCCCCGCGGGACGCGGAAGGGGCGGGCGGAGGCCGGGGGTGGAGCCGCCCGCGCGCCCTCCGCCCCCAGCCACCCGCGGGCACCGTCGCCAGGCCTCCCGGCCTCCAGCCCCCGCGCCGGCGATCGATGGAGCGGGACCCCAGGTAGGTGGCGAGGGGACCAGCGCCGGCTGGGTTGGGCTGGGGAGGCTGCGGCTCCTCCCTAGGGTTCGCGCCCAGCTGCTCCCCCCACCCCCCGCTCATGGTGCCCTCGCGCCCCTTGTTCGGTGCCCCCCTCAGCGCTCAGCTGCCCTCCCGGGTGGCCCTGGTCCTCCCCGACCCAGATTCCTCCTCACCCTCCTCGCCGTATTGCTCCCCAACACCCCAGATCTCTCCCCAACACACCGAATTCCTTCCCGACACCTCGAAGGCCACCCCACCCTCCCGATTCCTTCCCACCCTCCTGGGTCCCTCCCCAACACCCTAGTTCTTTCCGAACGCCACCGATTTCCCTCCAACTCCCCAGATTCTTCCCCACACTCAGAATTCCTCCCCGACATCCCGGATTTCTCCCTAACATCCGGTATCTCTCCCCAACCCTCCGGATTCCTCTCCAGTACCCCCCGCCCCCCCGTTACACACACACACGTTTCTGATTTCTTCCCAGACACACACACACACACAGGTTTCTGATTTCTTCTGTCCCAGCACCCAGTTCTTCCTGCCCCGCCTGCGCCGCCCCTCCCCCCAGCCCCTTCTGGGTCCCGAATCCACTTTTCCCAGGGGCTCCCGGGACCCCCCTCCCGCGGCAGGAGCGTGCTTCCCTGGGCTCGGGCCCCCAGCAGCGGAGATCCGAGAGTCTCCAGGCCCCACACCTCCACCCCTTCTGGTGGGGCTTGGGGTTGGTTGCTACCCGCCTAGGAACTTCTGCCGTCAGCACTCAGACCTGGAGATCCTCAGGGCACCCCTCCCATTTCTTCCCTCTCCCTGTGGCTGAAGTAGGAGGTTGGGGAGGGGGCTCTGCTGTGACGCCCAGGCAAGCTGGAGGTCAGGGCGTGGGTTCCGGCCTGTGGGGGTGGGCAGGTGGGTTCAGGGGGCTCCTGCCTGGGCCCCTGTTTCCTCCTCTGAATAGGGGCACGCATTCATCCTTCAGCAAACATTTATGAAGAACCAGGGGCAGAGTAGTGCCCCCACAGGGTCCTCAGTCAAGACAATAGGCAAAACCCCGTGAATGGTCACGGTGATGTGTGCCCGATGAAGAGAGTGGATATCCGACAGCTTCTCGGTTGGCCTGGCTTGAGGATTCCTCAGATCCAGGCACCGGAAGGGGCCCCACAGAGTCGGTACTTGGTGAATAAGAGCGGGGGCCCTGGAGCCAGGCTGCCTGGTTTAAATCCCTGCCCCCTTACTTTCCACCTGTGTGACCCAGGGCAAGTGGCTATACTTCTCTGTGCCTCCCTTTCTGATGTGCACAAAATAGTCCTAACTTCCAAGGTTGCCATGTGCTTCATCCGGTGCCCACTGCATAGTAGGTGCTCAGTAAACACGTAGTGAACAAATGTCCCTTTGGTCTCCTGCATATTTTTCAGGGACAGTCTGGCTATGTTTTGCCTTCTGTGTCTTGTAACATTTCTTAATCAGCCAAAAGGACTGAATGGCGCCTCGAGGCTGTGCCAGTCCTGGTGGGAGCAGATTAGACTTTTTGTCTTGCTGGGGAGAGGATTCAGCAGGAAACATTTACGGAGTGCTTACTGTGTGCCAGGTGCTGTTCTGTCCATTCATTGATTGATCCTGTCAAACTATTTATTAAGTGCCACCTGTGTGCCAGTCATTAATGCAGCTGTGAACAAGATAAATGAATATCCCTGTTTTAGCGGTGCTGACTCAGGTGGGAAGCGATGCATTCTCAACAAAGTAAGTTGGGAAACCTATAGTGTCAGGTAAGGAGAAGTTGGAAGGAGAAAAATAAAGCAAGGAGTGTGCAGGAATGGGCTTCAGTTTTAGGCAAGGTGGCCAAGGTTGACCTTGACGAGGAAGTGATATTTGAGCTGAGACCTAAAGGAGGCAAAGGAGCCAGGCATCTGGGGAAGGGTGCCCTAGGCTGAGGGAACAGTCAATGCAAAGGCCCTGAGGCAGGATCCAGTGTGGTGTATTTAAGGAGCAGTGTGGTTGGATGGGAGGGAGCAAGGGGGACTGGGAGGAGGTGAGGGCAGGGAGGGGACAGGGGCCCACAGGGAGGACCCATCAAATGAGTCATGTCTGAGACACCTCTGATTTCTCCCTCCTAATCACAAACCAGCTTTTCCACATTTTCTAAATCAAGTATTTGGGACCAAAGCCAAGGTGCCCTCCTTGCCTCCTCATGATCCTCTCCCTTTCTCCAAATTATCCACAAATCCAACTATTCCCCACCTTCCTTGAGATCCCCACCCGGTCCAGCCCCTGTCATTGCTTGCCTGAGCGGGTCCAGGTCCCAGGCTCCTGCCCCTGCTCCCAACTCTGTCCTCCCTGAAGCAGCCGCCAGAGGGCGCCCCTGAGCCGCTGAGTCAGGCCCCGCCCTCCTCTGCCCACAGCCCTCCAGGGCCCCCACCTCCCAGCTGGCCCCAAGGCCCACGGCACGACCTGCCCCCCTGTCCCTCTCTCCCCTTCGCTCACTTTGCTGCAGCCACACGGGCCTCCTCATCGTTCCTCCCACATGCCAGCCTGTCCTACCCCAGGACCTTTGCACGTGCTATTCCTGCTGCCTGAAACTTTCTTCCCCCAGATCTCACCTGAATCACTCTCATCCCTTCTTCAGGTCTCAGCTCCCATTCGCTTCCTCCCAGAGGCCTCCCTCGCTCCTCAGTAGACTTTCCCTGGTTCCTCACTACCACACCCTGTTTCATTTTCTTCATAAACTTCTCATTCTCTGCAGTGGATCAGTCTCTCATCTATTATCGGTTTTCCCCAACTGGACTATGAGCTCTGCGAGGGCAGGGGATCTGTGCATCTTGGGCTGCAACAGCACCTACAACAGGTCTTAGCACATAGTAGGTGCTCAACGAATATTTGCCCGATGCACGGAGAGACATTGGAGACTGTGGAAGAGGAGGAGAGGAGGGAATGGGCATGAGCCAGGTGTGGTTAAAAATGTTTTAAGAAGAGGAAGAGAAAAAAATAAGTTCTGCCAAGTTTTATTTATTTATTCTTATGCATTATTATGTTGTTATACTGAGTTCCTGCTCATGGGGAGGGCCACTTCCCGGTTCTGAGGAAACTGACATAAGTGGGCTCCACAAGAGGGCAGGTGGCAGAGCGAGGCCCCCACCCCTGTTGGTACTTTTGTCACAGGGCATCCACGCTGTGGGCTGCGCGGTGTACTCTGCCCTGGAGGCCGTGGAGGGTGGGGCAGAATGAGAGCCGGGTTTGTGGCAGGTAGGGGTGGGAGCTGGGCAGGGCAGGGTGGATGGAGAACACGCTGGGGGGCCGGTCCTGGGAGTCGGGCAAAGCTGGTGCTGCCACGGTCAGGGCTCAGGCAGGTGCGGGGGGAGGTGGAGAACGGTTGTGTGGCTTCCGATATTTTCTAGGAATGCAGGCGGGGGTGGTCCTGTCTTGCTTCTTCTGAGGCTGGCGCACAGGCTGAGCCTTCCCTGGAGGGCCTCCAAGTCTGGTGGCTGCTGGAAGGGGGCAGGAGTCATGCCCACAGAGCACCCATGGAGTGCCAGGCACCCCTCCAATGGTTGTACGTGTGTGAGCCTCTCCAACCCCTGCTGACGCTAGCAGATAGGGCTTCTCATTGCACCCATTTCAGAGATGAGAACACTGAGGCACCCGTGTGCACACGGCCTGCCCTTCTAGCTTGGGAGTGGTGGAGCTGAGATTGGAACCCCAAGGGCATTTTTTGCCTACCAACTGCTCTCTCTTGCCCTGGAGGTGACTCATTTCAGGTGGGCGTCACATGGATGAGGGGGACGTTGGCCCTCAGACAAGGACAGCCACTGCTATGTTCTCGCTGACTACATTGTTGCGGGTGGTGGAGTTGGAGAACTCTTTTAGAATTTTTTTCCTTTTATTTTTTTTAAAGACTTTATTTATTTATTTATTTGAGAGAGCAAAAGAGAGTATGAGCTGGGGGTGGGAGGGGCAGAGGGAGAGGGAGAAGCAGACTCCCCGCTGAGCAGAGAGCCCGATGCCAGGATCCATCCCCGGGATCCTGACCTAAGCTGAAGGCAGACTTCCAACCGACTGAGTCACCCAGGCGCCCTGAACTTTTTTCCTTTTAATTTATTGACGTATAACCTGAATTCAGAATAGGACACAAATCCAAAGTCGAACTTGATGACTTTTCAAAGCGAACGCAGCAGGAAACAGAATGTGGTGTCCAGCGCCCCCCCCCACCCCCGCCATCTCCCAGGTGCTACGCTTCTGCACATTTTATCCGCTGTGCCTTTTATCTGTTAAAATTTGGAGGGCACGTGCCAACACATCTGAGTTTTTCTCCTTTTAAGTTGTATACACAGCTGCTCCCAGGAGTCCTCGGGAAGTGGAAAGAACGGTTGATCTGGGACTCCTTGCTGTTGAAGGGGGATATCAGACCATATTCCAAGTAGCGACCTTGCTAATTTCAGAAAGACTTGACGGTTGGGCAGGAGTCGATCTTGAATGTCGTTTTTATCCCCTTACACAGCTGATGGGGAGCTCACATCATAGCTAGGAGGAGCTATGCGCCGTCTCTGAGTCTTATTGCTCACTTGCACCTAGATTAAGTGTGTCCTGCATTAGCCTGCGTCCCGCTCCCCAGGTAGCCGTGCTGCGTAGGAGCTCTGTGACCCTAGGCTACTTCCTGTGTCAAAGATGCTGATGATCCCAACCTTACTGGGTCGTGGTGCCAACGTCTAAACTCTTTGCTGCCCAAAAGAAACATAAAGTGTGGTGCTTATGCTATGTTACACTTCCTAGCAGTTACATTAACAAAAGGAAAAAGTGAAACAAGTCAAGTTCATTCTCTCAATACATTTTATCTCTCGCAATAGAGCCAACGTGTAACCGATATAAAACATTACTAATGAGGTATCTTACCTATCTTTCTGTGTGTGTTTGTGTGCTAATTCTTCAAAATCTGGTGTGTATTTTACCACGCTGTATTTTCATCAGTTTCAAAGCGAAATCGGGCCCTTCTAGAACAAGACTGTGTTTAACAGGGAGAGAATAGTTAATGCTGCCTCGGCTTATCAATTTCAATTTCGATGAATTAAAAATGAACCCAGTTTAAAATTCGGTTTCTCGGGGCGCCTGGGTGGCTCAGTCGTTAAGTGTCTGCCTTCAGCTCAGGTCCTGATCCCAGAGTCCTGGGATCGAGCCCCCGCCATCGGGCTCCCTGCTCAGGGAGGAAGCCTGCTTCTCCCTCTCCCACTCCCCCTGCTTGTGTTCCCTCTCTCGCTGTCTCTCTCTCTATCAAATAAATAAATAAAATATTTAAAAAAAAATTCAGTTTCTCCTTAGGAGGAGTGGCTACATTTTTAATGCTCAGTAGCCACATGGCGCTGCCTTAAAATGCAGACGGGACGGCTTACACACCAGAAATGTATTTTCTCAGGGCTCAGGAGGCTGGCAGTCTGAGATCGAGCCGTGGGCAGGTTTGGTTCCTTCCAAGGTGTCTCTCCTGGGCGTGTGGACGCTGGGTCCTCACGGGTCATGACTCCGTGCACGTCTGTGTCCTCCCCTCCTCTCCTTGCAAGGACACCAGTCACTCTGGATTAGGATCCACCCTAACGATATCATTTTAACTTCAGCACCCCTGTAAAGACTCTATTGCCAAATGCACGTCACATTCTGAGGTCCCGGGGGTTAGGGCTCCAACTGTGAATTCTTCAGGGGGACACAGTTCAGCCAGTAACAGCCCGTTATGCTTCACAGTAATTATATGGGCTTGAGAGAGAGGCTTTGGGTTGTGTGGTTACGTACATGGATGCCAAATAACTGTCACTTGCTGTGTCATCTTAGTCAAGCTTGCCCCTTCGAGTGGGGAAAAAATCAAGCCTGTTTCCTGTAAAGGTCCAGGAAGTGAATATTTTCAGCGTTGAGGGCGACACGGTTACCGCTGCGACCCCTCAGTAACGGACAGTGGCCATGCACTGCTGCGTGCCAAAAAATACGAAAACAGCCCAGTGACCTCTGTCCAAGGCAGTTATGCACAGTGTCCTGAGTGTCATTGTTCTCTGTTCTAGGCAGTTATGTGCAGTTGTGGTTTATTTATTTTTTTTAACTAATCTCTATACCCAACATGGGGCTTGAACTCACGACCATGAGATCAAGAGTCGCATGCTCTGTTAATAGAGCCAGCCGGGTGCCCCATCATCAAGCCAATCTTGATTAAAAAAAAAAAAAAACCTGCAGGAGGATAGGGAGTGAGTTGTGGGTTTACCTGGCAAAAGCGTTGCAGGCAGCAGGAACAGCCAGTACAAAGGTCCTGAGGTAGGACCGTGCCTGGCGAGTTTGAAGAACAGCAAGAAGACCAGTGGCCTAGAGTAAGTCCTCAATTAAGGGGATCCGCTAGGTTATATATTATAGATACGCATGCCCACGTTACTGCCCTATTATGTATATATTATATATACATATTATATATAAATATCATGCCCACTGGACTGTTAGCTCTAAGAGGAAAGAGTCTGTTTCTGTTTTCTTTCTCCGTCCTGGTATGTTCAATGGTCCCCAGTACTTGGCAGATGCTGGAAAATTGCTCCTTGAATGAATGTTTCCCTTCCTCCTTCTTACACGCTTCATTACTTATCACGCAACAAATATGTTTGGAGTTTTTACTCCACAGATTGCATATTGGCCCACCTTTTTTTTCTTCTTTTTTTTTAAGCTCACGAGGTCTCTTAAAAATATCTGAGGGGGCACCAGGTGGCACAGTTGATTGACCGTCTGACTCTTGGTTTCGGCTCAGGTTGTGATCTCAGGGTTGTGAGATCAAGCCCCGCGTGGGGCTCTGCACTCAGCGTGGAGTCTGCTTGAGGTTCTCTCTCCTTTCCCTCTGCCCCTCACCCTGCTCAGGCGCTCTCTCTTTCTCTCTCAAATAAATAAATAAATCTTTTTTAAAAAGTTATTTGCATTGGGCACCTGGATGGCTCCGTCATTAAGCGTCTGCCTTCAGCTCAGGTCATGATCCCAGGGTCCTGGGATCGAGTCCCACATCGGGCTCCCTGCTCTGCGGGAAGCCTGCTTCTCCCTCTCCCACTCCCCCTGCTTGTGTTCCCTCTCTGGCTGTCTCTCTGTTGAAAAATAAACAAAATCTTAAAAAGAAAAAAAGTTATTTGCATTGATTGCCAACTTGGCAAATTTAGCAGTTTCCTGAAACTCTGCATTTCTGGCTTCTCTTGAAGTATTAGCTGATGTGGTCCCGTGGAGTTGTTTTTCCTCAGGGCAATACACATAAGTCACAGCCACCACATTTAGACAGGTCTAAGGTGGTTCAAAATGTTCAGGTCCCACCTCCCTCCGTGTGAAAGCCCAAGTCCTCCCCCAATGGCCCACACAGCCCTGCAGGACCCACCGGGTCCCCTCCCTGCCCTCCCCTCCTCCCTCTCTCCCCTCACTCACTCAGCCAAGCGGGCATCCTCGCTGCTCCTCCATCACTCTGGGCTGGTCCTGCCCCAGGGCCTTTGCTCATGCTGTTCCCTCTGCCTGGAACTCTCTTCCCTCAGATGTCCCTCTGGGTCACATTTGTATGTCCTGTTGAAATCTCTCTTGTCATCAAGGCCTTCTTGAACCACGTTGTTTAAAACTGTGAACACCCCTGACTCTTGGGGTTCATGACCCTCCTTCCCTCCTCGTGTTTCTCCGTAACATTTATTCCCAGCTGATGGGAATGTGCTGTGAATGTCACTCATTTGTTGGTTGTCTGTCCTCCACAGGAGGAAGTCAGCTGCATTTGGTGGTGGTGGGGGGGTCTGTGCCATTTCACCCCCCACCAAGTCCTCATGTCAGCATCTCGGGCCACTTCTATTTCTGAAACAGCCAGACAGCCACTTGCCTCTCTACATCCTTCCCCCAAGTGCCACCCCCTCTGCTCCTTCTTGGCCACTTCTGCCCTGCTCCTGGGGTCAGCTCAGTCCTGTCCCCCTTGCACTTCTGCTCCCAGTGCTGGCTCTCCCCATGCTCTCTCTGGCCTGCATCTGACCTTCCTGGAATCTTTGACCTTGGCCCTGGTGCCCCAGTGACTCACATCTACTCAAAATGGATTTTTTTAGGGCGCCTGGGTGGCTCAGTTGGTTAAGCAACTGCCTTCGGCTCAGGTCATGATCCTGGAGTCCCGGAATCGAGTCCCGCATCGGGCTCCCTGCTCGGCAGGGAGTCTGCTTCTCCCTCTGACCCTCCTCCCTCTCATGCTCTCTGTCTCTCATTCTCTCTGTCTCAAATAAATAAATAAAATCTTAAAAAAAAAAAAAAGGATTTTAAAAAAAAAATCCTGAATCATTTTTGCCCTGAGGTCTGTGATTCATGGTCTGTGATCTATGAGTCAGCTTTTGCTCTAGACCAGGATCCTCAATGTCAGCACTGAGCAATATTTGGGGCTGGATCATTCTCTGTCGGGGGTGCTGTCCTAGGTACTGCTCAGGGGAGGGGGAGTGAGCAGTATCCTGGGTCCCATCTACTTGATGCCAGGCACACCTTTCCCTGCGGTCGTGACAACCATCGATGTCCCCAGACATTGCCAAGGGTAGGGGTGGTTGGTGGTCAGAGGTGTTCTTGGTTGAGAAGCACTGCTCTAGGCTCTGGGGGTGTCATTGTGGGCACTAGGGTGGACCAGACAGGAGTCCCAGCCCAGCTGAAGGACATATAAAGTGTTCTCAGTCTCCTGGAATGGATCTGAAATGGTGGTTTGTGTTTTTGTTTTTCTAAGTCTGAATATGATGTGCTTTGAGCACTGGGTGACCTCAGTTATGGGATTTGGAATACTCTCCCTAGCATCCTGTTGTGTGCCCTTGTGAAAGGCCTTTTTTTTTTAAGATTTTATTTGTTCATTTGAGGGACAGAGCGAGCGTGAGAGAGAGCACACGAGCAAGGGCAGAAAGAGAGGGAGAAGCAGGCTCCCCGCTGAGCAGGGAGCCTGACACGGGGCTTGATCCCAGGACCCTGGGATCATGACCTGAGCTGAAGGCAGACGCTTAACCGACTGAGCCACCCAGGCGCCCCGAAAGGCCTTTTTCTGTGCCTGTTTTTTTCATCCACAGCATTGGGAGGATATGAGTTCTAGCCTCATTCATTCATCCCACAAGGTTAGGTCCCCGCTCTGTGGTTCAGCAGCCCAGCAGGGTTAGGAGAGGCTCAGCCCCATCCATGGGTGCCAGGTGGCCAGGAGGCAGACAGCAAATGCAAAAAGTAACACACAAGAAAAGTTCACCCAGTGACACGCTGGGGGGAACAAGGTGACGTGGGAGAGACAGACTGGGAAGGACAGCGGGGTCGTGCAGGGCTGCAGAGATGGTGCCATTGTGCCTGAGAGCTGAATGATGAGACTAGCGTCCCTCAGGCAAAGGTCTGAGGAAGGAGCACTCCAAGCAGAGGGAACAGCACTTGCAAGGAGCCCGAGGTAGGAACCAGCTTGGCATTTGTTGAGACATGGAGAGCAAGGAATAGTCTCCAAATGGCTTGGCAGCACCATCAGGCCTGGAGCTGGCTCTCAGCAATGGTTAGTTCCTCATGCTAACATCACTACCTGCAGCAGCTAGGTAGGAAATGGACCCCAGGATGTCGTGGTTTAAAAACCACAAACATGTATCATCTCATACAGTTCCTGGGTGTCAGAATCTGGAGGAAGATGAGCTGGGTGGCTCTGGCTTGGAAGCTCTCTCGAGGTCGCTGTTAAGCTGCTGGCCGGCAGCTGCCTCATCTGAAGGCTTGACCGGGGCCGGAGTTGCCAGGAGTCCAGGATGTTCCCTCTACCTACTGACTTCTGGTCATCAGGCTCAGAACTTTCCCTATGTGAAGGCAGCACAATTCCCTGAAACAATCCCACAAGTGAGCTTATTATTATTCCCAATAGGCAGTATAGTTCTGTGGTTGGGCACTCAGCCTCCGGAGCCAGATTTCATGGGTTCAGATCCCAGCTCTGTCACCCACTGGCTGTGTGACTTTGGGCAAGTGACTTCCCTTTTCTGGCATGATTTTTGTCACATGCAAACGGGAAAAATAGTCGGGTCTACCTCTTGGGTGACACCAGGCAAGTGTTGGCTGCCCTCATCTTGCAGAGGAGGAAATGGAGGCGGGGGGAGGTGACACATCTTTCCCAAGGTCACCCTGATAGGTGGTGGTGGCACCGGAAAGTGGGTAGATGGGGGTGTCTGGGCCACCTCCCAGAGCTATCCCCTTTCTGGAGGTGACTGTGTCTCTCTTGCTTCACAGGTCTACTGCCGTGTCCCCCATGAGACTCGGTATGGTGAGCACGTAGGGGACTCTGAGCATGCAGGAAGGCAGGTGGTGTGGAACATGCCTCCACCACCCAGTGCTTCTGCTGCCCACGGCCGCACTCACCTATGCCCATGGCCTGCACGGGCCTGTCGCTCTCCGGTGCCTTTGACATTCTAGGTGCTGCAGGCCAGGACAAGCTCTTGCATCTTAAGCACAAGCTGAAGACCCTGCGCCCAGGCTGCCGGGGGGCGGACCTCCTGCATGCCATGGTGCTCCTGAAGCTGGGCCAGGAGACCGAGGCCAGGATCTCCCTGGAAGCGCTGAAGGCGGATGCGGTGGCCCGGCTTGTGGCCCGCCAGTGGGCCGGCATGGACAGCGCCGAGGCCCCAGAGGAGCCCCCAGACTTGTCCTGGGCAGTTGCCCGGGTATTCCACCTGCTCGCTGAGGAGAAGCTGTGCCCGGCCACTCTGCGGGACATGGCCTACCAGGCTGCCCTCCATACGTTCAGCTCCAGGAATGACCACCGGCTCGCAGAGCTCCAGGGAGAGGCCCAGGACCACTGTGGGTGGGGTATCATCGGGGACCCAGGGAGCTTCCAGCCCCTTCACTCTGATCTGGGCTGCCTGCCACCATCCTCAGTGTCACCCTCGGGCACCCGCAGCCTTCCCCAGCCCATCGAGCACCTTTCGGGCTGGAGCAGAGGGCGTTCCCTGAGATCCACCGGCAGCCCCGCCTCCCTGGCCAGCAATCTGGAAATCAGCCAGTCGCCCACCATGCCCTTTTTCAGCCACCACCGCAGCTACCACAGGCCCAGCAAGCTGTGTGACGAGCCCCAGGCCAGCCCGGTGCCCGAGCCTGCCCCCATGGGCTGCCAGGAGCCTGAGGAGGTGAGCTGGCCACCCTCGGAAGAGACTGTCAGCCCCGCATCGATGGAGACGGCCAGCCCCCCACTGGGGGAGACTGTCAGCCCCTCATCAGGAGAGGTGGTTAGCCCCTCATCCGGGGAGAGTGCCAGTCCCCCATTGGGGGAGGCTGCGGGTCCCCCATCGGGGGAGACTGCCAGCCCCTCATCGGAGGAGGCTGCCGGTCCCCCATCGCGGGAGGCTGCGGGTCCCCCATCGGGGGAGACTGCCAGCCCCTCATCGGGGGAGACTGCCAGCTCCCGGATGCTACCAAACAGCTCAGCCCCTAGGCTTACTGAGCTGGTCCCAGATGCAAGCCCTGGCCAGCCCGACTCCCCCAAAGCTCTGGAAATCAGCACCTACTACCCGGTGGAGTGCACAGAAGCATTGGCAGCCCCCAAATCTCTCCCCTCGCCCTCCAGAAACACTTGCCCTGACAAGGACCGGCCCCCACTCCCACTTCCTGTAGAAGATACCGCTTCCCAGGTGGCCAGCTCATGCCCACCTGCGCCCTCAGCCCTAAGGACGTCCCCTCCCTGCCCTTCATCATCGACCTCTTCTTCCACTGGCCTGGCCTCCTCCAGCCCGTGCCCCCCTTCTCCCGAGTTGGAGTCAGAGCAGAAATTCTATAACTTTGTGATCCTGCACGTTGCGGCGGATGAACACATTGCCCTGCGAGTCCGGGAGAGGCTCGAGGCCCTGGGGGTCCCTGATGGGGCCACCTTCTGTGAGGATTTCCAGGTGCCCGGGCGGGGCGAGCTGCACTGCCTGCAAGACGCCATCGAACACTCGGCCTTCACCATCCTGCTGCTCACCCCCAACTTCGACTGCCACCTGGGCCAGCACCAGGCGGGCCATTCGCTGATGAGCAGCCTCACGCGGCCCGGGTGGCAAGACTGCGTGATCCCCTTCCTGCCCCTGGAGAGCTCCCAGGCCCAGCTCAGCCCCCACACGTCCAGCCTGCTCGTCGGCCTGGTGTGGCTGGACGAGCACTCCCGGATCTTCGCCAGGAGGGTGGCCAACACCTTCAAGCCGCAGACACTACGAGCCCGCAAGGCGCGCTGGAGGAAGGAACAGGACGTGCGGGCCCTGCAAGAGCAGCGCCGGCGCCTGGAGGGCGAGCAGCGGCAGGTAGCAGCACTGAACGCCGCCTACTCGGCCTACGTCCAGAGCTGCTTGTCCTGGCAGGCGCAGATGGAGACGCTCCGGGCGGCCTTCGGGAGCCACATGCCACTTGGGACTCCGGTGCCCCCCGGGGGCCCGGGGCCTCTGGGCGCCGCCCCGCCCTTTCCCTCCCGGCCGGGCCATCAGCCGGCCGCTGAGCCTCCGTGGCCGGCCGGCTCGCCCGCGGCCGCCTTCCCGCCGCCCCCCGCCTTCCCGCCGCCCGGCCCGGCGCCCCCTCAGAGCCCCGGGCTGCAGCCCCTCATCATCCACCACGCCCAGATGGTGCAGCTGGGCCTCAACAACCACATGTGGAACCAGAGAGGGACCCAGGCGCCCGAGGACAAGACGCAAGGAGCAGAGTGACCGCGTGGCTGGGCCCGAGGACCCGGACCTTGGCGACGCCCCCCACCGTTTCCGGGGGCGGGGGGTGGGGGCAGAGGAGCGTGACGTCATCGGCCGCTCTCCGGAAACTGCGAAATGGGCCCTGACGACTTCCTGGCGCGCAGGGTGGCCAGAATTGGATGTGGCATTTACAAATTCTCACCCGGGTGGTGGGGGGGGGAGTGGGCTGGGGGATGTGGGCACCGTGTTTTAACTATAATAAATATTTATTGAACGTTTCTGCGGTGCCGTTCTCCTCTGGGAGACTTCAACTGTTCCCCAAAAGGGAACCAGGAGGGAGGAGCTCGCTTCTCCCCGTGTAAGGCAGGGACCGAACGTCGTGCGCAGTTTCTCGCATTTCATTGGCCAGAGCCTAGTCACGTGGTCCCTCGGCTGCAAGGGACGTTGGGAAATGTAGTCTTCTGTTGGGCCGTGGGCTTTGCTAAAAGTTTTGGTTCTAATACCAGAGAACATGGAGAGAAAAGACACCGGGGGACACTTAGCACTTACTGCTGTAGCCCCTCCTTTTTTTTTTTTTTGCCAAAGGTTCCTGCCTTGATGTGTCGTGTCCCCCACTCCCCACCTTGCTGGGCTCAGATCCGACCATGTGATCTTAGGCAAGGGCCTTCGGCTCTCTGAGCCTCGAGTTCTCATCTGAGAAGTGGGTTTGATGTTTCAAGGTTGTCAGCAGATCCTGTGTTGAGACACTGAACCTCGCAGTGTAAGTGCTCATTAACCGCCAGCTGGAGAGGAGGGGATTAATCTTTTTTCAGGGTCACAGACCTTTGAGAAAGGATAGAATTAACACTTGTTGGGCACTCACATTTACGGATTGTGCAGGCTTTGAAGATCTAAACGTATTCGATTTTATTTTTATTTTTAAAAGTAATCTCTGTGCCCAAGGTGGGGCTCGAACTCAGGACCCTGAGATCAAGGGTCACACGCTCCACCCACTGAGTCAGCCTGGCGCTCCTGAACCTATTTTAATCCCCAAAGTTGACCTCCCTCAGAGTAGAAGCTTATATTGTTGGGCTCATTTTACAGAGAGGGAAAACAGGCTCAAAGGGGTGAATCTGGGTCCGCACGGTCACACGGGTCAGAAGTGGAGGAATTATAATTTCCAAGGGAGGGAGCGCCGCAAGGCAAGGGCGAACTCCAGCCGGAGGAGCCAGGAAGCTGCCAGCCCCTCCCACCTAACAGCCTGGCTCAAACATTAACTTTGCAAGCCCTCTCCTCCGTTTCCTGGGGCCCCGGAGGGCGGGCCTGGCTGAGTCACCCAGGCCGTCAGATACCACTGGTTATTTTAGTCGCTGACTCAGATTTTGTTGGGGCTCAGCTTCCTGGAGCCTCCGCAGCCCTGAAGTGAAACCTGGGGAGGAGCCCAGGAGACCAGCTTCCAGGGTGGGCCGAGGTGGGCTGGGTTCGTGGACAGACGGTTTCTGATCATGGAGGCGAGAGCTGGCTGCAAATAACTGGACGATTGCGATGAACGGGCCATTCGTTCGTGTGAACATTTATTGAGCGCCTACTGTGTACCCAGTTTGTCCCAGGCACTGCAGTGCCCTAGGAGCAAAGGCAGTCGCAATCTATCCCTTGCTCTCCTTTCAGTCGGAGGCGGAGGAGAGGGGACAGCGAATGAGTCATCACAGGAAGAAGTGAGATAATTTCAGAAAGTGAAGGGCTATCAGAAGAAATGAACAGTGAGATGGGGGTGTCCCAGGGGGGAAAACTTTGGCCCAAGTGGCCAGGGAAGGCCTCTCTGAGGGGGTGATGTTAGAGCCAAGACCCGTAGGAAGAGGAGCCGGCCAGGATGAGAAGAGCTTGAGGACTGGGGTGATTTTCTGGGCAGAGGAAACAGCTCGTGGGCAAAGGTCCTGGGGCAGAGCCCTACCTGGCATGTTGGAGGAACAGCAAGGATGCCTGTGTGACTGGAGCAGAATGAGAGAAGGGGAGGGAGGGAGGAGGGGAGGGCAAGGAGGGGTCGGTAGCAGGCTCCTGCTGGGCCCTGGGGGCTTCGGGGAGGACTTGGACTTTTCCCTCAGGGAGGTGGGAGTCCTGGAAGGCCTTGGGCAGAGGAGGGCAGGACCTGACTCGAGTGCTCACAGGCGCCCTCTGGTGGCTGCTCTGGGAAGGACAGGTCAGGAAGTGGGGGGGGGGGGGGCAGGGCGCAGCGCTGAACCTGGGACCAGAGCAGTGGCAACAGAGCAGATCCAGTCCAGCCGTGATGGGGACTGGACCCAGGTGGAGGCAGAGGAGGTACAAGTGGGCACATTCAGAGCGTGAGTCTTTATTTCATCCCTGAGACATTGTGAGACTTGGGACAAGTCACAGCCCTTTCCTGGACCTCATCTTTCCCATCGGTCCTAGTGACTTCAGGTCTGGAGCTCCAATACTTCGCACGTCCCCGTGTCACTCCAGCATACTTAAAGGACAAGCATTTTGAAAGCCCTGGGCCGAGGCTTTTACATGCTGGCTGAACTTATTTCATCCTCCCAGCAGCCCAGGAGCTGGAGACTATCCTTGTCCCCAGTTTACAGATGAGGACACTAAGGCCCAGAGAGGGGAAGTCACTTATCCAAGGTCACACAGCACGCAGTAGCCTTTGGGGGCTGAAGAAGGAGCCAGGTGTCTCTACTGGGTTCCAGCCCATACGGAGATCATGAGACTGCTCGTTCATTACATCTATTGTTTTTTGTTTTTGTTTTTGTTTCTTATTCTGTGAAATAGTCTTATTCCTTTCCTGGCTCCTGGATCTGTCTGGGGCACTGTAGTGTCTTCAGCGCCCAGGGTAGTTGCTCAGGAAGTGAATCCTTTTGAGGAACAATATGTGGAGCACCTGCTGTGTGCAGGTCCGTCTGGGGCGCTATCCCTGCCCCCTATGGAATTCCCTGGGCAGTGGGTGGAGAGGATGTGATTCATCCATCTACTTATCCACCCACATTTATTGAGCTCCTACTGGGTGCAGGCACCTGTGGGCACAGGGGCAATTGAGTGGTCACCATACCCCCAAGGTGACCTGAGACAACACTGTCCTGTTCTCTCAGGGCTCACGGTCAGCTGCCAGAGACAGAGACAGTGACCAGGGGAATCAGGCCTGTGATGGAGAAGTGTAGGGAGCTGCGGCGGCCCAAAGGGGACTGCTGACCAGCCTGGGGGGATTCAGAGAAGATTCTGGAAGGAGGAAGCAAGCTGAGACTTGAGGCGTATGGTGGAATGAGCCATGGGCTGGGAAGAGAGCTCCCGGAGGTGCACAGAGCACCGGCAAAGGCCCGGAGGCGAGAGTGTGAGCTTGGACAGCTCCAGACAGAGCAGCGCTTCGCCAGAGCTGGGGGCTCAGCCACACGTCCTGCTGCCCTGGCGCCCCCTGGTGGCCGCCACCGCTCCAAGGCCAGTGCGCCCCCAGTGGCCACCAGGCCTGGGGTGTTTCCTGGGAAACCCCCTATTCCCACTAGGACAAACAGCCTTAAGGAAAAATAGTGGGGAATTTTTTTGAAAATTTCCCCTTCTTTAAGAACTCTGAAACATGCATCAATAACAGATGATTTGTCCCTGCTAGCAATGATGTCTTTCTGAGATGATTAGATCTTGTACAAATGTCCTCCCGCTCTCTGGGCCCAGAGACGGCAATGCATTGCCCAGTGTCACCCAGTGCATGCGTGGCTGCCACCGAGCCTGGGCAGAACTTGAGGGACTTTGAATCTTGCAAATCTTCTGCATCTCCGGCGCAATCTGGGTGGTCCACCAGAGGTCCACCTCCTCTGCCCTCCGTCCTCCAGGGCTCCCACCTCCCTGGAGGTACAAACCCGGGTCCTCCCCGCCGCCCCCAAGGCGCAGCGCGACCTGCCCTCCCCTCCTCTCCCTCTCCCCCCCCCATCTAGTCTGTACGAGCCACACGGCCTTCAACACACAGATGTGGTCCTGCCCTAGGACCTTTACACAGCTGTTCCCTCGCCTTGGAATGCCCTTCCTCCAGACGCCAACATAGCCCCCTCCTCACCTCCTCCAGATTTTTGCCCAAATGTCATCCTCTCAATGGAGATTTCTCTGATCACCCCACTTAAAATCATTTACAACCTCATCCACCCTCCCCACCCCGTTCTATTGTTCCCTAATGCTTAGCACTTTTAGACAAAAATAGTAAGTCACTTATTCACTGAGCACATTGTTTATCATCTGCCTTCCCAAGAGGATGGGAATTTTATCTGTTGATTTCACTGCTGGACCCCAGTACCTGGCACATAGCAGGTGCTTAATAAATGACTTTGAATTAATGGGCACATCTTTTTATCTTTAAAATAACCTCTTTGTGGGGCGCCTGGGTGGCTCAGTCAGTTTGGCATCTGCCTTCGGCTCAGGTCATGATCTCAGGGTCCTGGGATCGAGCCCCACGTCAGGCTCCCTGGAAGAGTCTGCTTGTCCCTCTCTCCCTGCCCCCACTCGTGCTCTCTCTCTCTCTCTCTCAAATAAATAAATAAAATATTAAAAAAAAATAACCTCTTTGTTCTGTTTCCCTCCTGCCTGCTGGTGAATGTCCTGTCCATTCGTTTTGTCATCCGTTCACCGAATGGTATGTATTGAGCACCTAGTGTATGCCAGGGATGGTTTCAGATTTGGTGGACAGTGTTGACTAAAGCAGACCCTGTTGTTGCCCTCACGGGGCTCATAGCTCTGTGGGGGAGACAGACACACCACTAGGTGGTTGCAGCCGGGGTGGTCCTGGGTGTGATGGGGGGATGCAGAGGCCACTGTGGGGGCCCTGGGTCTGGGGGCAGTCATGGGAGGCTTCCTGCTGCAGGTGGAAGGTACAGCTCATGCAAAGACCCCATGGCGGGAGGTAGCTTGGCACCCCTGAAGGATGGGGAGGAGCCAGTGTGGTCGACTTGAGTACCTGTGTCATGAATGTGCCTCCCTCCACCTTCCTCCAGAACAGGATGCAGCCTTTATTTGTGGAGACCCAGAAGGTGCTGCAGTGAGTACTCTGTGCCACCAGGGGTCGCCATGGGACAGAGATTCGAGCTTCTCCCCTGCCTGGGGCTGGAGAGAGGCTGGAGGAGCAGAGAACCCGCAGAGAGTGCCAAGTTCCAGGTCGTACCAGCAGCCCCCTTTCCCCGCTTAGAGCCTCTGTAAATAACAACCACCACCGTATAAATATCCCCACTAACTGGGGCTTTGGAAATTGTCCAGTATAATGCTGTTGGGGACCACAGCCCAGAGAGGGCAGACACCTGCTTTAATTTCTTTTTTTTTTAAGATTTTATTTATTTATTTTAGAGACAGAGCACAAGAGGGGGCAGCGGGAGAGGGAGAAGCAGACTCCCTGCCGAGCAGGGAGCCCGATGCGGGACTCGATCCTGGGACTCCAGGATCATGACCTGAGCCGAAGGCAGCCGCTTAACCAACTGAGCCACCCAGGCGCCCCGACACCTGCTTTAAGTTACACAGCAAGTTCCATCCCCACTGGGCCCACACGGTGCCCCCTCCCACCCGGAGTGCTTCTGGGCAGGGATCTTTTATTTTTAGCCTGGTCAGGGGATACGGCCTTTTTATAGCCCTGGGAGGTGCCAGGATTTCCAATGTCCAAGGGAAGTTTAAAAAATTGTTCTCTTCCCAAGAAAAGGAGCTTCCTGACCTCTCAGGGGGGCCTGGCCCAATCTCCTGTCTTCCCTGATGCTCCCCTGGGGTCCCTCAGACCCTCTATCGGGCTCTGCGCTGGTCCCCACCCTGTAAACCCTATCCCCCTTCTCTTCGGGCCCCTGGGCACCGGCGGCGGGCAGGCTGGGGTGGCGCCGCGTGCCCGCCCATCCCTCGCTGGGTCTCGGAGACTTGCCATCACGCGGGGCCGTGATGAACGCTGACACCGCCCCGCCCATTCCCCAGCCTTGCTCACCTGTCTCCTGTCCTCAGGAGCTTTGCCGGCCTTCTGCCCTCTTCTTTACTTCCTTTCTTTTAAAAAAAAAATTTTTTTTTAAAGATTTTATTTTTCAACAGAGAGAGAGACAGCGAGAGAGGGAACACAAGCAGGGGGAGTGGGAGAGGGAGAAGCAGGCTTCCCGCCAACGTGGGACTCGATCCGAGGACACTGGGATCATGACCTGAGCCAAAGCCAGATGCTTAACGACTGAGCCACCCAGGCGCCCTACTTCCTATTTTCGAGTCATGTAACAGTTTCCTTTAAACAGGCTTTAAAATTGACTCTCCCCCCCCTATTTTCTCCTGGAATTAGATTGTGGTGATGGTTGCACAACCTTGAGACTATACTAAAAGGCATGGGATTGCACACTTTAAGAAATGGTGAATTTTCTCGGTAAAAACTTGTAACAAACTCGTCTTTATTTTGAAACGTGGGTCATTTGCAGTATTAACACCTGTAAACTCACATGTTGTCGGGGGGTGGGGTGGGGGAGCCTAGCTAAGCTTTGCTCCCTAAGACGTATTTGAATAAATACACAAGTAATGTGAAGCTTTCAAAGCCCACCCATAGCAGACGTGTAAGTGGGTGTGCAGACAGTGGGCGCCCCGTGACCAGGAGGCTTTGTGTCTCCCATGCCCCAGGACATTTTCACCGACAGTCTCAGTCCTTCTTGTCCCGTTGCAGGCAGCTGCTGCTGTTCACCCCGAATTACAGATGAGGACACTGAGGCACGGGGAGGGGCGGTGGCATTCCTGAGGTCACGTGGCCGCTGTCCTGACCACTGTCCCACATGGCCCAGTGAGCGTGCTCATTCTCTGAATGAGGAAACGACCCCATCAGAGCTTTGATGGTGGGTTTGTGGCCCGAGGGCTGAAGCCAGAACCACCCCCGCCGCACGTGTTTCATTTAATTGTATTTAACTTTTGTTCTTAATAAAATATTATTAATGTTTTTAATTCCAGTGTTGTTAATACAGTGATAATTCGTTTCTGGTGTCAATTTCATCTAACTTTTAGAAGAACCAGCTTTTCGGTTGATTTTTCTCTTACCGTTTGTGCATTTTTTGAAATTTTTAGTTTTTTTTAAGTTTTATTTATTTAAGGAATTTCTATGCCCAATGTGGGGCTCAAACTCACGACCCGAGATCAACAGTCGCTCACTCCTCTGACCAAGCCCGCGGGGCATCCCTTGTTTGTGCATTTCTGTTTCCCTGATTTCCACTCTGTTTTCCTTCCTGGCTTCCATGTACTCGGGGTTTAATTCGCACTCGTACTTCCAGCTTCCTGAGGTGACACTTAAGACCTCGGTGCAGCCCCCCTCCAGCCTGTTCCTGCAGCTGCAGCCGGTGACCTCCAAGCTTCAATCCAGGCACATCTCTCCTCGCCCTGAGGGTGAAGCGCAGACCGCTCACCCTGCACCGCCTGCCTGAGCTCCCCCAGCTCCTTCCTCCCTCACTCCATCTGGCCACATGGGCCTCCTTGTGAATTCATTTATTCATTATTCATTCAGCAAACTACCATGTGCCAGACCTTCTTCTAGGCAGGGACACAACAGGGAATGAGCTGGTGCAGGTGACATTCTAGGGAAGGGGACACAAGGAACAAATAAGGAAGCAAATGAAGAAAAGGATCAGGATCATCTCAGGGGCTAAAGTTATATGCGGGCTGAGAAGGAAATACCTAAGGGGGATGTGATGGCTGAGATGCTTTCAGTGATCAGGGAAGGCTTCATGGAGGAGGGGGACATCGGGTCAAAATTACTGATGAGCTTTTGGTAGAGGACACTAAGGCATTGGGCAGGGGGAGAGGTTGCACTGGGGAGCCTCAAGTGTCCCATCCAAGGCAGGTTCAACGTCTCTCCTGCAACCTATGGGAGGCACAGGGGCCGGGGGCCGGGACGGAACACTGCCTCCCTCCGCAGGGCTGGTGGTGGCAGCACCCCGATAGGGGCTGGGTGTTGCCTAAGGCCCATGGTAACTGCTCAGTGGAACAGCCTCCTTGTCCACTCCCCGCCGAGCCTCCTGCAGGAATCCACACCCGCTCGCTCCGGGGACAGAGTCAGCGCCCTGCTGTGCCGGCCCGGAGTGCCCGTGCTCCCAGGGACTGGTCACCTCCCCTTTCCAGCCCGTGATGTGATTTAGAGCCATGCTATCTTTAACCCCGGGCCGGGACGCTCTGCTCCCCTCCCTGTAAACACCGCTCAGATGACAGTCCTGGAATCCTGTGGGGGTGGCGGGCCCCAGGCATGCGGGGCCCAAGCTGGAGGCCCCGGACTCCCCAAGGTGGGAGACACTCGCCCATGAATTCACCCACCCATCCACTCCCTCGGCACAGGGGCTCCCAGGACCCAGCCATGACTGACACCGCCCAGGGCTCTGGGAGGTCGGAGACAGGAACGCACTGAGCGGCCGGCCAAGTGGGCAAAATGGGAGGCACTGATCCCAGCTCGGGGAGGATGGGCAGCGGCTCCCACGGGTGGGGCTGCATGCGTTCAGCACCTCCACCCTGGGCTCCCAGCCCGCTCAGCTTGTCAGCTCACCTGCCAGGGACTTGTCACCACGTCTGCTGGGTGGCCTTAGGGAGCCGTGGCACCCATCCCTGCATTTCACACAGCCCCGCCTTCACTCAGACTGCAGAGGTTTGGGGACACAGGGTGGAGCAGTGCGCACACCTCACTCCCAGCCCACTACGACTGGCTGGGTCAGGGAGCTCTGCATCCTGTGGGCCACCGCCTGGGGACACCCCCCCGCCCCCAGGAACCAGATCCTCTGCCACCGTTCGGCGCAGCGGGATCACCGCTCACCTGGTCTGAGTGGCCTTCGTGAGACTGGGGTTGAAATCACAATTCTCAGTTCTAAGCTCGGGGGGGGGGAAAAAGCACGTGGCCTGGGTGGGCTTTCCTCTGTGGCGAGTCTTCGAACACGCCGTAGCCGGCTTCCCCCACTTGCGAAACGGGGAGAACACCTACTTCCCTGAGCTGCCATGAGTGGCCCACAAAGGCACACGGGATGGAGCCTGGCATACAGCAAGGGCCCAATAAATGCTCTGGCCGGTGTCGTGTCTCCTGAGGCCACTCTTGAGCACCTACTGATTCAACGCCCACTCCTTCAAGGCAACGATGTGTTCACACTACAGGGGGGCGGGCAGATGCCCCAGTGAGGCCAGGAGATGAGCAGCAGCCCCCCACCCAACACGCTGCTGGAGGCCGGGCCTTCCCCAGTCGTGCGGGGGTCCACCCCCCACACCCCGGCCTGAGGACACACAGCAGGGCTTGGGCCCGGCTAACTGGAGAGAACCAGATCTTCCTCCCCAGACGGAACGGCTCCAGGAAGCCCACCGACGTCACCCGCAGCCTCTTGCCGCCCCCCCAATCTCTGGAGGGCCACGCCACCTCTTCTGTGGCAACCCTGCCACAAAGCAGGGGTTTGGAGGAGACCAGTGGCTTTCCTGTCTCCCCCCCACCCCCCGCACAGATCAGGCCACTCCCCTGGGGAAACCTGACACAGCGGCCCCAGGACACCCCCAGGAACTCCCCCAGTGAGAGGCG